ACTGTGCGACCTGCATGACTTTCCCAACATACAGGCCTAGGTCAGAGTCACCGTTCACAGGTCGGGGTAGCGGAAGCCGATAGCGACCTCTCAAAAACTGTGGCTCCCACCAGCTTGAACAATTCGGGTTAACTGGTAGACTAGAAAAAAAATCTTCTGGCTTCTTAGGCTTGGGGACTTCATACCCCACGTGGAGAATTTTGCATAACCAGCCATCGACCATGATGTTCATACCCGGTGCCAAATCTAAACAATTGTTTTTTTTATTTGACTTTCAGACGACCCTCTGTTTTTATATTTGTTTTACCGTGAATTTCCTTCACAACGTCCCTGACAAACATCTCAGTGTCACTATTAAAGGTTGAATTATCACTTGCCAAACCGCCGAACACCGATGGAGCACACAGGAGGAAAACAATCGTCTTGAACTCCATGGTTGTTTTTAATAAAAAAAAACGACGTTCTAGAAACTTGCAGGTCGTTGCCTTATACTCTGAAACTTGAACTCCTAAGGCCTTAAATAGACTTTACACCCGCAGCCGTATCGGTCTCTAGTGCTATCTTAATTTCTTCCAGAAACCGTGCAGTATATGATACAGCATATACTGGTCGTAACTCTTAAAGTGGATGGAGAACCCATGAGCGTTGACTAATGCCATTCTTGAACAATCCAGTTCGTACTCTATTTCAATGTCCAAGGTGATTCCGGTTGTGTATCTTTAAATTTTTTAACCATTTTGGACTTTTTTAATAATTCATGGATGTCGTATGCTTCTGCAGCACCAAACGTCCAGGACACTCTCGCCCTGCCTGTTCGTCCACAAGTTGCAATCGCTTAAAACGGCCTCCCTTGCCCGTTATGATATTAACTTTTGTACCTCGTTTCAAATCCCAGCTCGCTTCGCATTCTCCCTGGTCTAACGGTTTAATCACCGCTCCGTACATTATATCTGATGTAGCGTCCATTGTGTTCGATATGGCGTTCGTTTTGTTTTGCAGTGTAAAGATATTCTCTGATTAACGATATGGTTTTTCTGTACTATATACAACAACCACCTTAAATAGACTTTATTCAATATTGCCATCAATAACAGCTAGCCAGCACACGCTTCATTTATTTCGCGCTCATACGCCTGTAGAATGTTACACAACTTCTTTTGGGCCAATAAAGGCAGCTCCAGCACCATCTCTGGATGATTTAACAATAACTTTGAGCAGTATGTTGTAGCTTCCACTTCCATGTCCCAGCTTAATCCTTCGACGGACTTCAGCCGGATGGATGTCTTTCATGAGTCAACGCTTCGTGTAGTTTCTTTGCCTCCATCGGTAAGAGATGGATGAATACTAATCGCTCTCCTGTTGACCTTCAATCTCCATCCAATCAAACTTCCCTTGAACGTTATCACGTTGGCCTTTACATTTCAGCCAAACTCCACTGCAGTTGGCTATAGGAACCTACAAAAGGCAAAATCTCGGCCTCGTACATTACCGCTAATGTGTTGTCGTACATCTGCGCCATGGTACTGACATGCTTCATGGTAGCCACAGTTGCAAACATTTCAGCTCTTATATACCAGTTACAACAAAGATAGTATCTGCCATTTCCGGTCAGCAGTTCTCAAACATGGTATATAAAGCCCAATATTTCAACAGCAAAATTCAGTCGTCTTCCGTTCTTGAACCAACTTTGGTGTATAAAGTGGTTCAGAGTTGTTCGGTGCCAGTTGGATATTATGGCCCTAGCGACCTTGTCTCGCCCGCCATTCCCCGTCACGGTATTGCTTGGATATTTTAGATCAGTTCAAAATGGATTGACCAAATCCTTTGGACTGACTACGATTACTAAGCAGGACCGTCAGCGTCGTGACCTTTTGGGCTCAATATTTCCTTTTTTTACTGACCTGAGCAGGGTTCATACTATGACCCTGCAGAGTTTTCACTTGTTTATTTGTTCATATATACGGTATTGCTCTGTAATCGTGGTTGAGTTAAACTGGATTGATCGAATCCATGTAGCTTACTACGACTACTGAGCAGGACCGAAACCAGTTCAGTTACCAGGAACTGCTTTGAAAGGAATGTGATCAAATATCTAATCTGTTACGATCAGTAATTCCCGTTACACTTTTGTGAGTTGTACATTGCGCTGGTAGTAATGGACATCACCGTAGTTTCTATTGGTCATTTCCATTGCGACTAGCTCCATGTTCACCTCAATGCGATTCAGAACTCAAGGTATAGGCTTCATAAATAAGTCGACGGTCTGTATCAAGGAGCCATAATGATGGACATTACCGCACGTTGGTCATATCCATCATTATTATTGGTTCTTTGTACGTCCTGCAGTATTTTTGAATGTTTGACAGACTTTTATGAGAGTTGATACGTAGCGCTGGTAGTAATGGAAATTACCTCAATTGTAATTGGTCATTTCCATAGCCACCAGTTCCATGTACACCTCAATGTGAATTGGAACTTAAAAAGTATTGGCTTTGCAAATATAGGGAGGACGTGTACCACGGAACTTCAGCAATAGACGTTACCATATCTTGGTCATGTCCAATGCTGCTTGTTCCTTGTATGTCCTGTAACAAACTTGAATGTTTGACTAGCTTCCGTGAAAGCTGATACATAACGCTGGTAGTAATGCAACTGCTCTTAATAACTATTGGTCGAATCCGTCGTTGCCGGTTCCTTTTGCGCAGAGTGCGTTGTGGATTTCCAGTAAGTAATCAAATAGATGCAAAACTTTAATCAACTTTCACCAGAACATGTTGTGGCTTACTCGTAAACTAAACAATTTTATAGGATAAGGTCTGGGGTTCAATCCCCTGGTAGCTTAACATAAAACAAAAAAATTTCAGTAGCAAGCCACAGCTTGTTCTTTTTTTTAACAAAAATACACTGGCAAGATTTTTTTTATGACGGAACGACACATTGGGCAACCATCACAGTCCTTCACACAACAGTTGCAAACAACAAAATGACCACATGGATATAGAACCTGCGTGATGACATTTGTGTAACAAATTTTACACAGCTTTTCGTCTTTCACTTCGGCCAGATGATCTGCTGGAGAACGTAGGAATATTCGTCGCCAATGCTCTCTTACTGCCCGCAGATGTTCCTCGCTATTACCCTTCATTCTCGCATTTCTGTTAATACCACAAAACTGATTTACCGTTCAGCAATGCAGGGCCACTATATAAAGCCAATAACCTTTCACGCCTTTCGCTGTCCCGGCAACCCTGTTCAAGCCAGGGAACAGACCAGAAACCCAGCTCCGACTGGGCCATGATTCTCGCACTCGGACGCCGGCGTAAGGCTTCCATCACGTGCTCCCAACTATAGAACTGTAAAGCTTGTAGAATTTTTCTTCTTCGGCCACGTTGTCTGGCCACAGCAGCGCGTCTTCATCTACAATATCGAAAGCTTAGTTGTAATACGGTATTTACTCTTTTACTGCCAATCTAACCTTCTTTAGATGCATTTCTATATTTGTTCTGTTTCTTCTGCTGAATCGTATTTATAAAACTTTCCCCTTCTGCTCCATCAAATACGGACACTGCGGTCTTAAGGCAGCATGAATCTCCCAAGGGTCTTCATTTTCTCTCCAGCAATCTCTTCCCATGCCACAGTAAAAACAGCGTGTCAGTATACAATAGTTTATAAAGTAAAACCCGCTGCAGCCATTTCTTGTGGATGTTGATGTGGACTGCTTGGCCAACGAGCAAAAGTAGCGAAGCGGCTTTCATAGGATTGCATTTTGGGCAGTAAACCTTGGTAATGATGTCCTTGCTGTACACCTCGAATCCAGCAAATTCCTCCTCGCTAGCCTCTCCATCATAAACGTCTGCGTCCGCTTCGGTGTCACTACAGCTGGTAACTTCACTTTCTGATCTCGACATTTTACAATCCGGAAAATAAATTTTATGTGTTGCAACCGGTGTACCCTTTATGTTCCGTGCACTAATAGTTCCAAGACAATAACTACACGTAATTAAGTCCTCATAACCAGTACATTCAAAGCCAGCCTTAGCCAGTTCCAAAGGGGTCCAAGATGAACACCCCATTCAAGGAACGATAATATACGATTGTACAAGTCCATCAGCTAGTAATTAACTTTCCGTCAGTTCCTATTTTGGCTATAAATACCACCGTTGCATTCAAGCTTTCATGTTCAAACACGTTTCTCTATTTAACACATATTTACCCTATTTTTACGAATTTTTCTAGGTCATTAGGAATTTTTTCAGAATTTTCTAAATTATTTTTGAAAAACGGGACGTCATCCCGGGACGCTCTTATCAGCGTCCCACATCTAAAAGCCGGTCGAGACAGGCATATTACTACTAACCCCGGCTACATCGTATGATCCGCGTAGGCAGTACCACTGCACCACGGCGCAAAGTGTTGAAAATACTTCGAAGACTTTCTCGCTGTACATGAGCCGCTTCCATCCTCACACGCGAAAACGGGACTTGCGAATGCGCTACGTAACACGCGAAGACGGTCGCACGCACGTAAGGCGTCCCACAACGGCCATCGGCAACGCCGCACAATTTACAGGGCACATTACACTTTTTTATCAGGCATGCGTCGCCCAATTAGTTTGCACCGAGCGCGAAGCGCGAGGTGCTGCAATTAAGTCTTCGTCAAGAGCATAAAGTTTGTCTGACGCCACGAAGAGCGTACGCGTCACGCTTCTCAAATTCCACAATCCCAATACCATTTTCCAGCGGTATTGGCGCTCGCTCTCATGCAATGATGTGGGTTCACGAACCACCCCTACAGACTCTGTAGTATAGCTTTGTGTTCTGTTAATTTTCATGTGGTTTTGCACTAGTAAGCAGAATAATGTGCGAACTCGTGTTGCTTAAACAATGGCAGGAAAACGAGTGTTGCTATGGGCCTACGATGACTTCCCGGCGCACGGCTCCCAACCGCCATAGGGCGCCATTCTGGCGAGAATCGTTAGTTGCCCTCGCATGAATGAAGGATGTGTCTGGTTGCAGGCAGAGATGTACGCCTCGGCGCAAGAGAAAGCGACGAGGGCCATTCCCACCCCAACAGCGCCGCCCATGCTTCATCGAGGGCCTACCAGCACCTCAAATGGTGATGGTATGCCGCTACAGCCCGTGCTGTTGCTGGAAGTCTTTCGCGCTCTCGACTCCATCAGGCGCTGTCGCTGTCGGCGGATGTGCCCGTTATGGAACACCCTGCTCTGCACGGACGGGCACTTTGCCGATGTGCGCGTGTCCGGGCATAAGGCGGGGTATGGCGCGGTGTCGCATTACTCGCACGCCTACACGTATTGGCTGGTGGCTGGTGCAATCAAGTGTCTCCGCAGCACTACCAGGATGGTGGTTCTTTCACAGCTGCACAGTGGGAACCTGCGTCAACATATCCACATGACCGGCCTCCTCCAGTGCCTGGTCAGCAGCGGACGCCTACGGGCGCTGGTATTTCATGACTGTACTTTCTACATGGGCGCCGGCATAACTTTTCCCAGATTTATATGGCAAACAGCGGAGCTGATCGCGGGGTGTTCCCCGCTGGCCGACAGCGTGATTCTGAAGAAAGGTCGCCTGTCTGATGGTGGTTTGCACGCGACGGTAGCGCTGCACTCCTTCAGTGGGCAGTCGCCCCAGGAAACTGAACGACAGTTGTGGGACTCTTCGAAAACGGTCTGGTTCTCTGCAAGCCGTTGAATCGAGCGGCATTGGCAGAGCGTATCCGTGCCAGGATGGCGCAACATGCCAGCGAGGATGGCAATGAAAGCGAAGAGTTCCTTATGGAGGTACGCTGCTCTTTTACTTTTCTAAGTTTTCTTTGGTGGTCAATACACATTGCCGTCTGCATGGACAGCCGGACATTTCCAGGCAGTAGTCACCTACCCATAAGGTGGTTTAAGTGGTCCGCTGTCAACTATGGTGACCCGCTTTATGTAGCGCTAAATTCGGGTACATTCCACGGGAACTGTTGTTTTCGCGCACTGCCAGACACTTTTTTGATTGCTTTTTAACCTTGTGTAGCCAAGCGATGTGTGTATATAGGCATAAACTTCGTTTGCACGCGCAACATCCGGCGTGCAACGTATTATTTTGATGGCCATTCCCTACTAGACTACAAATTTTGTGCCGGGTCGCTTGGCTTTCACGACAGCTAGAGTCAAACGCTGTTTGAGCAAAGCAGTACAACACGCTTCTCCAGTTAAACCACTAATTTGTCATACTTCGCTTGGACCAATACTATTCAAAGCGAAGTAGCCTTGATCTGTATGTTGACTGTCGGATCATTTCTGTTTGCAGACTTTGTGCTACTATCAAACTTCGGATCCGCGCCTACCCACCGATTACCCGCATCATATGTGCGGCATGTCGAACCAATCCGGTCTGGATGTCTCCAAGCTGACCACACTGACGGCGTTAGTGTTGAACGAATGGATTGGGAGCGACTATCCCAACCGACCACCGTGAACGATCTTCGTTGACCAGTGTCTCGCGGCCCACTTCGGACCAACATTGCCGGCTAACCGTTAACGCCTTCCTGTCTGTTCACGAGCGGAACCGCTGGCTTGTTTTGTTTGGCATATTACTGTTTATTAAAGTACTTCGTATAGTACTAAGAAAAGAATAAGTTCTTTACGTGCCAAGTGTCCATTCACATACGTGTCCAGTAATAGAAATTAATGTCTGCGCTGGTAGACACTACCCGTATAGACCTTCAAGTGGCCACCTATGTTAAGTCAATCGGCGACATACCTTTAAGTGGCCCGGCTGCAGTTATTTGGCCCCAGAACCGGTTTTCTTCCTGTTTTTTTGGTATTGCATGTTCAGCTTAACTTGCTCTTTACAGAGTATTTGAAAAGTTTAAAATCGGTTGAACCGTTTTTTAGTTCTTTACGTTGTAAAAAACCAATGCTGAAGCGAGTAAGCCACGCCACGAGACCCACTACACTACGCCAGCTTCTTACACTTATCAACCACACATGTGCGGGTGCAGCAAGCACTCGCTTTTTATAAGCGGATATGAGCACAGAGACAACCGGGACGTTTGAACTTGAAGGTATGTCGCCCATTGACAGGTGGCCACTTGAAGGTCTCTACGGGTACATATTTGAAATGATTAAAAATTTCCCACGTTGAAAAAACAGCCAAAATCGTTAGCAGTCCGTACAGGCCGTACTCGTATGGTCATCCAAGTAAAACACTTTAATATGATGAGTAAATGAGCGATGGTCGTTAGGTGAAATTACTGAAATAGTAAATTCCAGAAATCGATTTTCTTGCGGTTTTTTTCGTCCGATAAAGATGGGTGTGCCCTTCACAAAGTACTTGAAATTTTTCAAAAAAACTTGAGCAGTTTTCTTGCAGTAGCATCGGTAAATAAAACATTGACGGAACGCTTAAGCCACGCCACACGAGCCACTGCAAGAGAACTTCATATCATCTTGAGGAATTGCAAGTAATTTATAAAGGGCACACCCATTTTTATCGGGTAACAAAAACCGAGCCATTTCTTCTTCGCCAGCAGCGCCACGAGGCCCATCGCACCCAACACCGTGGCCCCGCCCCACGTCACCAATCCCATCGCGAACAGGCCACCTGGCACCTGTAGACATTTTCCACACAAGGAGTTTTGTTCTGCCTGGGAAGCGTATCCGGTCGCTTCAAGAGGCACAGCTCCTAAGCTCGATTTTCTTCGTTTTCGTTTTGACTTGTATTCCTGTGAAAATCACTTTTCTGTCTTCCGTAACGTGATCCATGTTTTATGAAAACCAGCAAGCTGAGCAGTTCAAACGCAGGAAATTTGGCGACCTCCGGTGCTTGTCGTAGTCGCAACCGCTCAGTGTGGCAGCGTGATAGCCAGTTATATCTTGACAGCTTTCGAAAATTCCACTTCCTTTCTTTTGATTTTCCTAACAAAAAAGACTTTCACTGCTTTACTTGTATATGAATTTAAGAGACTAGGAATAAAAACAAGGAACCATTCCAAATTGTAAATACATCGTTTGCCACCACACTGCTGCAAAACCAACCGGCCTGTCGTCGGGACGCATAATGCATCTGTACCGAGACGATAAGCACCCGATAAACGCGTGGAACGCCGTGGACGTCCTCGTCGACGGGCTCCTTCAGCACGGGCACGTCGTCAACGTCGCCAAGGACGGCCTGATTATTGATTTCCATTGCGCTGGACAGCGCGCACAGTTGATCAAGTACGGGCGCATCTTCCGCTTCCCCAGCAGCAGCAGCAGCATCATCAGCGACGACACGCTCCCGCCCGCGACGGCCGTACAAGTGTTATTGCACCATCCGCCCGATGGTGCCTGGATCTGGTATCATGGGACGATTGTCGGCCTGGCAGACTACCTCAATAAGTCATTTGAATGCGTGCAAGTGCCGCTGCTCGATGCCATCCAGGAGCTGGTACCCCGCGGCCAGGTGCGCCCACCGCCCGCGGACGGGGATCGGGAAGGGTGTCGCGTGATGGAGAAGGACTTCGTGGTCCGGTGTGCGCGGCTGCCTGATGCCTGCGCCGCCGATGGATCGCAGTTAGTAAGGGAGATCTTCCAAAAGAAGCTGGCGCGAGGATTCAACATCGTGTGTGTCTCCCTCTCTGTGCCGAAGCGGACGCTGCAATATCTGCAGCGTCAGGATGCCCGTCCACTAAAATCTAAGGATCTGGTGAGCTTCTAAAATCTTTGGAATGGAAGGCAATACGCATGAGTGGCACAGACATGGGTTATATGATTTATATCCATATTCCAAAAAAACATAAAATGGAAGAAGTTGCCGTAGGCGGATGGTTCTACGATGCAGCGCATTTTTAATATCAAATATACCTAATTTAATAATCAAACAAAATAACAGCAAATTAATTCAGCGTTTAAGTTTAGAGATTATATTCTGATTATGCGTGGTAATGCTATGAGTGTTTTGTGCACAGTCCCTTCCCGTGTTAATTGGGACAAATTCTTCATTTTATTTTGGCTGAGTGAAGCTCGCCTTGTGCACATTGAGAAATAAATTGCATGATTAGCAAGTAATACTTGATAATGTTATACTTAAACAATATTTAATGTTAGTTGACCATATGTTGGTGGTTACTACTTATAACGGGGGGAGTTGCCAGTTCGATAATGACGGTTTCGTTTAATGACGGTTACGCTGTTTCACTTGTACGGATGAGCTTGCTGTAGGAAGAGGTGTACACCTGCTCACAGCTGAACGGGACCCGGCCAAGCCCATCCAGAAGCGAACATGAAGCGGCTGCCAGCATAACCGCTCCACCGGGAGATGGTGATGGCATCCCGTTACCGCCGGTGCTGCTGCTGGAGGTCTTCCGCTCGCTGGACTCCATCCGCCGCGTTCGCTGTCGCCGAGTGTGCGCCTTGTGGAACACTCTCCTCATCACGGACGGATACTTTCCCGATGTACGCGTATCCGGAAATGCGGAGTACGGCGTTCTACCCTACTATGCCGACGATTACTTGGTAACTGCTTGCTTACTCAAGCGTCTCACTCGCGCCACGGCGGTGGTGGTGCTGGCGAACCTGGGCTCTCACAATGAGCCCAACCACCTCATCAGCCTCATCGACCATATCATCGACGGCAGCCGCCTGAGGGCGGTCGTGTTTCACCAGTGTGAATTCAGCTTGAACCTTGGTTTGACGTTTCCCCATCTGATGGGGGACATAACTAGTCTGGTCATGGGATGCTCGAAATGTGGCCAGGTGATCATGAAGAACTGCCGCATCTACGATATCCACCTGGAAGCCGTTGTAACGCAGCATGTCTTCACCATGCCGTCGTATGAGCAGACCGAGATTCGGATGTGGGATCTCTTTGAAAGGGGTCTCGTTCTCGATAAGCCCGTGAATCGCGAGGCGTTGGTGGAGTGGATTGATGGCTGGTTGGCGCAGTATGCCATGAACGAAGACGACGGGATGGAAGAGCTCATTCTGACGGTACGGTGTTCTCATTTCAACAACCCTCAAGTGCGTAGATGCGTTTTCATAAAAATTTATTGATATTTACGTTTAAATTTAATGAGAGAAGTCGTTTTCATAAATAGTATAATCTGTGTGAACTTCGTTTTGCCAGGAAATTTAACTACGATGTGGAAACAGTCTTCATATTTACGTACGGTAATAGTGTCGCACAAAATTGGTCAAAATTCGGTTCACAGTGAGACTTGGTGTAATGTTGCGTGTATGTACACTTTTTGGAATCTTATTTCACGCATAACCGCCGAACTGCATGTTACGCGAACAACGGTTTCCACGCACGCACACTCAATGCCACCAATCAAATCAAAAGAACGTACGGAATTCGTGTACGATTCGCGCTAACATGTTGTTAGTACTGGGTCACCCCATTTAACGACAACTAGACTACGACACTGTTTGAAAAAGCAGTAGAACGCACTTCTCCAGTTAAATCCCGAATATGTATGAACCTTGAACTGTGTATTGACTGTCGGATAACGTCTACTTGCAGACCTTGTGCTACTATCAGGGTTCCGATCCGCGCCCGTCCACCCACTACCGCGATCACCCGTGGACCATGTTGAACCTCTCTGATCTGGATGTCACCAAGCTGACCACGTTGACGGGGACGGCGTTGTACGAAGCCAGGGAACGGCTATCTCCACGCTGAACGGGCTTCGTTGATAAAAATTGTGGGACTTGGTTCGTACGTGCGGTGCCGACTGACCTTTAACGCTTTATGCCTGTATAAACACCGAGTTACTGGCTCCGTTTTGTTTGGGATATTAGTGATTATTTACTCGTGTTCTGTACGACAACGCTGCACGTACATGCTGATACGGATAGAACTGCACCCGCCGCACTCAAACTCTACGCGCGACTTCTGACCGCGAACACATTTTGCCGCGGGACATTCGGTCGTTGGGACACTTCGGTTTGGGACATTTAGCTTTGAGGGATTTTGGCTGGTGGCGATCGATTTGTGCGTATAGGCCGTATAGGATGTGCTCCTGCTGCCGCTGTTTGTTGATTTTTTCAATAACACCTCGAATCACGGCGCGTCTGCCGGCTTGCCGATAAACTCGTATTTTATCCTACATTGTAACTTTTACGTTTGTAACTGCAGCGCGACCGTGTGCCATTTTGATAACTTGTTATATACTGTGTAAGTGTTTGTGAGGGGATTTACATAGGTATGACAAATTACTGTAGAACTAGAAAAGTGTCTACTACCTTTGCGTTTATTCGAGGAACGTGCAAGCAGTCATCAACGCACCTTCCCTATTCAATGCTAAAGTTACAACTAACCCTCCACGGTTAGCTGTTAGCCTGTTAATAAGTTAGTTCGCTCAAGCGTAATTACGAGTATTTATCTATAAATTATAGATAAATGTATGCGCATTTACCTTTCTGTTGGGACGTGGTTTGCTGTTCCGCGCCCGATGCATACGCTAAGCCGCTTAAGCCAGCAATCGCAGATGGTACTTCTTCTCGTCCTTTGCGGACTGTTGCACCTTCAGCTGCTTTTCGATCGATTACTTTACGCCGTGTCCTTTTGGTTTGCGTCCGCTTTCTTTTGAAGTGGGGACTATTTTGCGATAAAGTTTCCTTCTGCTATGGAATTTCTCCAAATAATTCGGCAGGCTATCCGCAAAAGCGGCAACTGCAATCGAATGACAGCAGATGCCTTTTGTCATAAAGCGGTCACATCGGCAATCAACTTCACATATTTCCGTCGTCCAGGTCACAATCCTTTCCACGCGACCTCTTGTTTCGACGACAGCTACGGGATTTCGAAAGTGGAGTTCGGTCCTCTCCTAGTGGTACCCCTGCCACGAATGCCCGCGGCGGACACCGTGCGACAGATGATGCAGAGCGTTTACGCCGCATGGTGGATTCTTACATCAACGAATGCTCCGTACATAAAGCGGTAGCCCGATTAGTTTCTGAAGAAAGTGTGCTGAATATTGATGCCAAAGTGTTATCGGTCCTCCGCCTGAAGCATCCCGATGCACCTACGGATGCCAGTTTACCTGTTCCATCAGACAATGACATACCTACTTTCACCCCCATCACGGCTGCTGAAGTTATCAGTGCCGTTTTCAGCTTCCCAAGTGGATCAGCTGGTGGATTAGATGGTCTCCGTCCGCAACACCTCAAAGACTTGCTGAATTGTAAGGATGCTGTCGAATCCTCGCTTTGCTCTGCACTATGTAAGCTCATGAATTTCATCGTGGCTGGCAAATTACCAGAGGAAGTGCGTCCTATTCTGTTCGGTGCAAACCTGATCGCCCTGTCAAAGACAGATGGCGGTGTTCGGCCGATCGCTGTGGGCAATGTGTTGCGAAGACTGGCGGCCAAGATTATAGCCAAACGGTGTGCGAAGAAAGCGAATGAATTGTTCACTCCCACTCAAGTTGGTTGCGGTACACGTGGCGGAGCTGAAGCAGCGGTACACGCTGCCAGAAGTTTTATTTGCGAGGAGCACGACGGTCTACGAGTTCTTTTCAAAATCGATTATAGAAATGCGTTTAACACTGTCCGTCGGGATGTTATTTTGCAGTCTGTTCTAGAGCACTTTCCCGAATATTATTCTTTCGTATTGAGTGCGTATGGAGCGCCGTTCGTTCTTTCATGCAGTGGCAGCGATGAGGATTTGACATCCGCCACGGGGATCCAACAGGGCGATCCTTTGGGACCACTGCTTTATTGCTTAGTTTCACTTCTGTTCTGCATTCATTTGTCCTCGAAGCTGAAAGTGTTTTTCCTGGATGACGGTGCTCTGGGAGGTACGATGGAAGAAGTGGCCGACGATTTGACCTCGATTATCGCCGCCAGCAGCGCCGCTGGACTCGAATTGAACCCCGCGAAGTGTGAAATGCTGCTTATTGGTGGAAGTGCTGAAGAACGCGAGGTGGCCAGGAACAGGCTGCATTCAATTGCACCCGGTGCGATTGTTTTGCAGCCTGAAACGGTAACGTTTCTTGGTGCACCTTTAACTGATGAAACGATAAGTCATTTACTGCGACAGAAAATTGCTTCGTTGAAAATTTTTATAGAACGCTTGCAATTACTGAACTCCCATCATGGATTCTACCTCCTGCGGAACTGTTTGTCCATCCCGAAGCTCATGTATACGCTGCGTTGTAGCCCGTGTTGGAAAGTACCGGAGCTGCTGGATGATTTCGACAGACACGTTAAAGAAGCTCTGGAAGTCATAACGAATACCAAATTGGACGGACGTGCATACACACAGGCTATGCTCCCTGTCGCCAAAGGCGGTTTGGGTGTGCGACGAGCAAAAGCATTGGCTCCTTCAGCCTTTTTGGCTTCCATGTTTGCAACTCGCCAGCTTACATCCCAGATCTTTGAAGGCAGTAGCGAGCAATTAGTCAACGACGCGTGTGAATTTTGGAAACTGGAGTCCGCATGTGAAGAGTTACCTCTAGATATGGCCCCCGTTCATCAATGTGTATGGGATAATGCTGTTGTGCAAAAGGACGTCGACTCGTTGTGGCATAACATTGGTGACAATAAACGGGAGGAAGCACGCTTGAGAGCAATCAGCACTAAGTACGCTGGGGCCTGGCTGAGCGCTCTTCCCGCGAAAGTATTCGGCAATTTCTTGGACGACCAAACCTTCCGTATTTCTGTTGGTCTGTGGCTAGGCGCTAAGATCGTAGAATGTCATTCATGTGCTAGATGTGGAAAAGACGTAGCCGAAAATGGATACCATGGGCTTGCCTGTAAAAAGTGCATCGGAAGAAGGGAACGTCATAACGGAATTAACGACATTATATTGCGAGCGCTATGCAATGCCGGCATTGAATCGTACCCGGAGCCTATTGGCTTTGTGCGCGAAAATGGTAAGCGTCCGGATGGAGCTACGCGCTGGAAATGGTATCGCGGACAGCCTTTAGTATGGGACGTGACCTGTAGAGACACGATGGCAGATTCGTACATCGACGCGACCTCAAAGTGCGCTGGCGCTGCTGCCGAACGGGCTTTCACTGAGAAGATGGGGAAGTATAAGTCTCTTACGGATCGCTGTTATTTTGTCCCAGTTGCATGCGAGACATTTGGAACTTTTTGTGAGGAAACAATTGTCTTGTTAAAGGAGATTGGTAAGAAACTGTTTATGAGGACCGGCGAGATTCGTTCTACCTGTTTTTTGTTTCAACGTTTAAGCTTGGAAATAATGCGTGGCAATGCTATGAGTGTTTTGTGTACAGTCCCATCTCATGTTAATTGGGACAAATTCTTTATTTGAGTGATTTTTATTGAGCGAAGCTCGCCATGGTACATAAATTACTTAACTCGGATTTTCACAATACTCGTATTTCTATATTATACTGTTGAAATTCCATTTCCAAGTAACAATCCCAATTAAAAGTATAGCAGTTCCAATGAAAACCGTTGCCCCGAGACACTTCGCCGAATTTATTGTAAACGTGTCTCACAATGCTCCTGTCATCATGGTGTATATGCAAAAACAAAAGCGCACTTTGCGCATAGCGTGAGTGTTCATCGAGCCCCTTTCGGCTTTCTCCTTATCCCAACCCTACCCCATGCCACTAAACAGAATTAACAGGAGTAAAATAGGTGCGCAACGGTTGAGCAGGGTCAGCACAGAGCAAAAGTGGTGTAAAAAGATGTGAACGGTGTGATCGCTTAAATTAAGACAACAGTATATACGGATTATTGGACAATAATGAATTATCGAACAATAATTCATGATTATGCTTTAGGGACATCATATCCCAAGCAATGCACCTGCTGTGTGTGCTGCATGTTAAGGAAAACTTGAAGAGGCTACTCGCAAACGAGTTTTCTTACTGTGCCGAAGACGACCTGCAACAGACCGTTAACGATATCTTCGGCGTTGTGCGGCCGACCCAGAATACCTTTATTAAAGGCCTCGTCGATGCTGCGTCCACCCGCGAATTTCACGAACAACTTGCCGCTCTGAGGGAAGTCTGGGAAGCGCGGCACCCAGGATTTACCGACCGATACTTTGATTCAGACGTGCAAAGCAAGTACATCCATAAGCTCATACTAGAAGCACGCGAGCCAGCTGGATTCGGAGATAGGCTGTGTCAGAATAACGCGACCGAAACAGCCAATTCTATGGTGCGAAAAAAGCTGGAATTAAAGCCAAAGCGAACGCTGACTGATCTGGAAACTGTGCGTGACCTGAAACGATTATTTTTCCACCAAGAACGGCAAATGGCGGAAAGCATTGTCGGGCGTGGTGAATTCCGTCGCAAGAACGTTCATGCAACAGCGTGCACGACAGCAGTTCTGTTCCAACCTGATCCTCTGAAAAAAGCGTACATCGACATTTTTGGAATCGTTCCGGATAATGATTTGCTGCAGCATTTGAAACCTGAAAATACGAATGCTTGTGCAGCATCGAATCGTGGGATTGAATTTCCTATCAGTTTCGTCGAAGCAAACTTGGCAGACGAATATCGTTTGGACTGGAACGCTGCGCGCAACATCCTTCAGCAGCAACGTATCCGGGAAAAGACAAAGACAAAAGTTCAGAGAAACAATTGTGTGGATTACGCTATCGATGAGCCAATTACGCTATCGACCTTCTAGAACTAGCGTAATAAATAACTAAAAGATAAGAAGTAATTCCTAATCCATCTCATCCAAATAACATTATTAAAAGATTTGGGCTAAAAATTAACAAATATATAGAACCAACAAAGGAAAAAAGTAAAAAAGAAAACCCCAATTGAGTTTTTTCTTCATCCATATAAAACTTCCTAAATAAAAAAACTCTAAAAGAAATAATTCTTACGATAAAACAAAAAATAAGAGAAAAAAAATCGAATAAAAAAACTAAAGAAAAATTTATAGAAAAAAAATCTAAGATATAAAACTCAATTAAGAATTCTTGAAGATCAAAAAAAAAAAAACTTAATAAAAAAAAGACTAAAATAGCAGGAATTCATAGAATTATTTATTAATTAAATCTTGGAAACCACATTTCCAAATTTTATCTTAAACTAAATAAATAGAAAATAATAACTTTCAATATTAATCCTAAGAGAGGAAATAAGTGAAAAAAAAAAACTAAAAATACCAAATCAGCCTCTATAAAGAAAGAAAAATTTTTAAAAATAAAACCATGAGTTACTGATCTAAAAAGAAAAATACAATAATAAGCTACATAAAACCTAATAATTCCCAATAATATTATTAAAAAAAAGTATTCAGAAAGACTTATAAATAAAACAACCTCTCCTAATAAACTTAAAAATGGTGGAGCACTAAAGTTAGCAATTGGAAAAACAAATCAAAAAAAAGAAAAAAATAAAAAAAAATTAAAACCACGATTTAAAAAAATATTTCGAGACCTTCTCCGCTCATAATGAAAACCAACATTAAAAAACAAAGCTGAAGAACAAAACCCATGAGAAATTAAAATTAAGAGAAAGGACTTAAAAGAAGAACCTGTTAACAAAAAAAGAAGAACAGCCCCAATTCCTATATGTCTCACTGAAGAATAAGCAACTAAAGATTTTATATCTGCTTGAGAAACACAAATAATGGCACTCAAAAATGATCCCCATAAACAAAAAGTAATAATAAAAACAAAAAAAGAACAAAAAAATAATCATAAAATTAAACCTCGTAAAACTCCGTAACCCCCTAATTTCAGCAAAATAGCTGCTAAAATTATTGATCCACTTACTGGTGCCTCAACGTGAGCCTTTGGTAACCATAAATGAAAGCAATAGATAGGAAATTTAATAAAAAATCCAAAAATAAATATAATAAGGAAAAAAAAAAAAAATCAATTTTCTAACTTAGAAAATAAAAATAAACCTCATAAAAGACTTTTCCTAAAAAAACCTATAAATAAAATAAAAACTACTAATAAAGGAATAGAACCTGCTATTGTATAAAAAAAAAGATAAAAAGAAGCTTGAACACGCTCAACCTGATAACCCCATATAAGAATAATGATAAAAAGAGGGATTAAAGAAAGTTCAAAAAAAAAAAATTAAATATAAAAAAAGAAACCAATAAAAAAAAAAGTAATAACCTATTTAACAATTTAAATTTCAAAAAATTTCAAAGAATATTTTTATACTTTATTATAACAAAAAAAATAGTTATAGCCCTTCATAAAGTTAAAGAAGATAATAACCAACTCAACTGATCAATAAAAAAAATTATAAAAAAACCTCCATTTAAACATTTTATTAACAAACTCCATAAAAAAAAAATGAAAATAATCTCTAACCTAATTACTTTAGAGAAAAAAAAAAAAAAAGGAAAAAACTAAAATTTTAATAATCCAACTTCTTCTATATAATCTTTTCTAAAATAACGAGTGAAAAACACAAAAATTATTAATCCTACAACAGACTCACAAGCCATTACTACTACAAAAAAAATCTATATAATTAAGAAACCTAAATAATAAAATACAATATAACAATAAACTAAAAAACTCCAAAGAAATTAAAAAAGAGATTAAATGAAACCTTTTCAAAAACAAAGAAATAAAAACTAAACCACCACATAGATAAATTATGTCCATAAACCATATAAGTTTTAAAGATTTAATTCTCAAACATCCAAAGTTTATATTTTATTCATAAACTATCTTTAAAAATAGCTTATTTAGTTTATAAAAATAATGATTTTGTAAATCATAGACACAAAAGAAGTAATAAGCTTTATTCATAATCTTAATATTTCTTCCATCTATTTATGCTCTATCTTTTTTTGCTTTAGAAATCACCCTATATTAATAGTAATTTTCTTAATTATCCAAGCAATATTATCAATAATAATAACAGTAACTTTACAACCAGAAAGTTGAGTTACTTTTATCTTATTTTTAATTTATTTAGGAGGTCTTATTATTATCTTTGTTTACTTATCCTCTGTAATTCCAAACGAAGTTATGAACTCCTATACAAAAACTGCTATAGCTCTAACAACTTTTTTTTTTATACTAATAATGCTTCCCTTTTTTAAAATACCTTTAATAAATTATATAAACATTTTAACCGTGACCATAAACAATACGTCAAGATTATTTAGCCTTTTGTTAATTTATTTATTAGTTGCTATATGTTTGTCAGTGTTAATCAGAAGAAATATAAAAACTCCACTAAAACAAGAACTAAACTAATGAGAAAATTAAACCACCCCAATTCTAAAAACTTTAAATGCTTCTTTAATTGATTTACCAGCTCCTTCTAATATTACACATTTTGAAACTTTGGTTCAATACTTGGAACTTGTTTAACTATTCAAATCTTGAGAGGTGTTTTCTTAGCTATACATTATTCTTCTGATATTTCCTTAGCCTTTTCATGTATTGACCACATTATACGAGATGTAAATTACGGATGATTTATTCGTCTTATTCACGCTAATGGAGCCTCCTATTCTTTTGTTATATTTTTACATATCGGACGCGGACTATATTTCCATTCATTTATATTAACAATAACTTGAATTATAGGAATAGTAATTTTTTATAATCTATATTAACAGGATTCTTAGGTTACGTTCTTCCTTGAGGCCAAATATCATACTGAGGAGCTACAGTTATTACCAATCTTTTATTTGCAGTCCCATATATAGGAATACTTTTAGTGGAATGGGTATGAGGAGGATTTTCAGTAAACAATTCAACTCTAACTCGTTTTTTTAGATTTCACTTTTTGTTTCCATTTATACTAGTTTTAACAGTAATCTTTCATCTAGTTTTTTTGCATGAACAAAAATCTTCTAACCCCATAGGAATTCAAATAGCATCTGATAAAATTCCATTTTATCCATATTTTTCAAGAAAAGATATTTTAAGAATTTCTATTTTTATTTTTGTATTTATTTTAATTTCACTACTTTATCCTTATATTTTAATAGACCCAGAAAATTTTATCCCTGCCAACCCTCTCTATACCCCCATTCATATTCAACCAGAATGATATTTTTTATTTGCTTATGCAATTTTACGTTCAATTCCTAATAAATTAGGAGGAGTTTTAGCTCTTCTTTTATCTATCCTTATTTTGGCACCCCTATCTTTTAAAAAAATAAACACAAAACAAAAAAGATCTCTTATATTTAAAATATCTTTTTGGTTTCTAAGATCTAACTTTATTCTTCTAACCTGATTAGGAATAAAACCTGTAGAAGATCCTTACCTGATAACAAGACAACTTATAACAATGTTTTATTTTTTATGGTTTATTACGGCTTTTTTATTATAAATCGTCTCTGATGTCTTGAAAACATAAAAAAAGTAATACAAATTACTTACGATTTTAAGTTAAAAATAAAAAAAAAAAATAAAAAAAAAATAAAACAAATAAAATAATCTTTCAATTAAGATCTATAAGAAAATCATAACGAAACCGAGGAAAAGAAGAACGAAAAAAAATAAAAATAAGTACAAAAAAAGAAAATAATCAAAAAGAAAAAAAAAGAAAAGAAAAAAAAAATCTTATTCATAAGATAGAACCATATTCAGCTAAAAAAATTAAAGCGAACTTAAGACCTCCATACTCTGTATTAAAGCCGGAAACTAACTCAGACTCCCCTTCAGCTAAATCAAAAGGAGCTCGATTAGTTTCTACTACACAAATAACAAAAAAAAAACAAACTAAAATATTAAATAAAACAAAAATTATTGAGTTTCATACCCCAAATGAAA